ATAATAACCAATTTTGCCTGGTTTAATTTGTAATGTATGTAGGTAAAAAAAAGCAAATGTTGAGAAGATAGTAAGTCTCATGAAGTACTGTCTGGGACCCCCAATCAGCCTTGGGAATCCACCTAATCAGGGGGTTTGGGGTACTACGCACCAACTCTGTTAATAATGTTTCTCTTTTTTTCTTATTCTTTCACACTGAGTAACCTATTGTCTTTTAGTGGCTTTTCTACCTTGTTAAGGGGCGAAATGATTTTTTTAAAAAAGAATTAATGAAAGACTTTCAGAATATTATTTAAATTCACTCTATGTCTAAAATAGCAGATGACTCTTAAACGAGGGATAACATTTCTGTGATGCAATAAGCAAGGATGTCAAAGAATGAAAACCAATTAATTGCCAAAATAAAAAAAGCGTATGACTGATTAATTGGAAAATGCTGATTGATAAATCATTACCAATTATCAGCCAACTAATCAGTGCAAACCTAGTATTAAATAAGTTTTATACTTGAATGATAAATAATGTCAAATGTATAAAATATCTGATGGAATATGTATACAACATATACATTTTCTATAGAATTAATGGATTTATTTTTAATCTGATAATTTTTATTACTAGAATTATTTTGCAACATGCTAGCAAATGTTGAAATCCTCACAATATTTAGTAATGTTGAAGTTATCACTTCCTCTGCCCATTTGTGCTTATATTTACAGTGCTACTACTCTGCATTATATTTTAATAATAATATATAAAAGCTTAAAGAAAAGACATGCAAATTAAAAATATTGCATTTTTCATCATTAAATTGTTTTTAAAATAGTGGGAGTATTTTGTATGCTAAATAGTAAAACTTTTAATTTTTCCCCCCAAAAATTAATGTACATTTATTGTACTAAGCTACACACTCTAGTAAAACCAACTGTACTTTGTACCCCCCTTACATGTTTGCACTTCTCACCAAAATTTGGTTTCAATCGGTAAATGTATGACTATTTTAGAGAGTGTGACAGATTAATGGAAGTCACAGAATTTTGTATATAGACATCAAACATTATTATAGTGGACACTTAATAACATATGAAGCAATAAAAAATGCCAGATTAAAAATAAATCCATTAATTCTTTAGAAATTGCTTTGTTTACATTTCATATACAAAACTGAGTAGTGGCTCAGGAGAAAAATAATCTAAGTGAAGGTGATATGCTTTGCTTAAATATGGTAAAAAGAGCCTTGCTTACTATGAAGTTTATCATGGTTGAACGGTAAAACATGCTGGATCAAACAGTAGTTTCCCCTACAAAGGGGGACTCATGTTTGATCTCTGCCAGAAGACACATTTTCTTTACTTAGGTTTCTCAAGTGCACAGGTTGATAGACATAATAGACACTGTTTAATAATAGATAAAAATGGGGTGTCTATTTCAAATAAGAAGTGTCCACTATAATGTTTGTAGTAATATATATATATATATATATTCATGAATCATTCATACAAAAAACAAATATAGAGGTTACTGATTTAAATGGCGAGAATACATCATCGCAAACAATATAAATAAGATACATCAACCCCGAAACTGTATATGAATGATATGATCCCTGTTTACAAATTCCAGTTGCATAAGGTCTTTTTAATTATTTACAAGCTTTCGTCTGTTCCTACAGACATCATCAGGTATGGAAATAGATTTTGTTCTTGTTTTTACTTCTTGGTAATATATATATATGAAGAAATATAGTTTTAAGGTGTACTATATTTATGGGATAAAGTGCTCAATATCAGAGATAGAGCGTATGTAAATATAAATATAAAAGTGAACATTGAAGTCAACACTTAGAGGCGACACAATCATCAGGCCACGAATGCTGGATATTTCCTCAGCTATTTATATATATGGGTCAGTGGTGCATTGTGGGTAATCTATTCTGGTGGTTAATTTTGTGGGAGTGGCTTGTGTGTTTATTTATTTGTTTGGGTTAATTTATTTTACTTGTTTTTCATTTTGTATTATTTATTCTTTTCATTTTTTGATGTTTTATTAACGTTGTAAAAAAATTTTGGTGTGGGGATTTGCTTAGGTCACTTATTTAATAGTTTGTTTTGTTCTGGGAAGATAATTAAAGCTATTTATTTGTCCAATGTTTAGATTACTTGCCGTAGTCTATTCTGTTATTTTGGCGGGTGGACAGTTTTTCATTTATTTATTTGGATTGATTATTTTTACTTTTTTTGCTTATTTATGCTTATTCTTATTAGTTCTAATGGTTATTTTAATGGGGGGGGATTTGTTAATTTGTTCATTTATTTATTTATTTGGATTAATTTTTATTAGTTTTTTTATTGTGTATATTTTTATTTATTCTATTTAGTTTTCGATTTTTGAGTAACATAGTGATTTCCTTTTCTTTTTTTTATTGATATATAGCAGTTATAGCTATTTTTACATCCAATTTTTGGATTGGTTGTTGCAGTATATTCTGAGAGTTATTTTGGTGGGATTGGTTTGTTAATTTGTTTATTATTATTTACTTATTTGGGTTGATTGTTTTTACTTGTTTTATGTATTTAATTTTTTAATTTTATTTATTCCATTTCATCTATTCTAATGAGGGTAGTTTGTTAATTTGTTTATTATTTGCTTGGGTTAATTTATTTTACTTGTTTTTTATATTATTTTGTTTAGTTGTATTCATTCATTTCAGTTTTCGAATTTTAAGTAACGTAGTAAAAATTTGTTTTCATGTCTGCATTTTGAAATGAGCTCAGATCATTTATTTAGTAATTTGTTTTCGTCTGGGAAGGTAATAATAGCTATTTTTTCCTCCAAGCAAAGTTTGCAGGTTTTTGATTGATTCTTGTAGGCTGATGATCTTTTCCTTATTTTCCATGATATTTTTGGTGTGATTTTTGTTTTGTTTTTAATTTCCCAGATGTACTTGGAAAGCATTGTACTGTTCGTGTATTTACTATTTGCGAAAGATGTTTTGTGTGCATAGTTTCTTTGTTTCCAGAGTCCTTCAGTTACTCCTATGTATACTTTTTCTTCATTATCTGGTGATTTTACTTGTCTGGAGATCCTCTCTGCCCAGAGGCAGAGAGTTTGACCAGCACAGCTGGAGACAAATCTCCAACTGCAGGCCAATATACAGTATTTACTACTGTATTTATGTGAATGGGGACATAACCATTATCATCCATAGGTATGCTACGTCAATAACAATAAAATCATAAAATATAATCATAAAATTTATAATAATAAAATATTATAAAATGATAAGATAAATAACAGATTGTGGGTTATTGAGTTACATTTTATATCCTCATGTCTTGTGTATTACTACTGAGCCAAGTTAGTATTTGGAGAACAAATACATTTTAATTTATGAGTATGGACATTTATTATGTCCTGAATACAGCAATCATTCTTTTCTTTTTTTTCCAAATAGGGTTTGTTTTTGCTTTTACGATGATAATTCCTACAAAACTCTCACTGCCACTGTTCACTATGACAGCCACAGCCCCAATCCCACTCTCTTGAGTACATTACCTTTCTCAATCAAGAACTTGTTGAGACAAGAACTCAGAAAATAAATACTATTTTCTTTTTTTCCTTTTTCTCTTCTATAATATTTAATTGAATTTGGAATGAGAAAAAAAAAGTGTTGCGTGAGAAATCAAATAAATAAGTGGCGATCAGGTTGCATGGAAATATTTCTGTGCATTTTTTCCAGTTTTATTTGAGTTTTGAGATGTTTACAGTGGTCATAGGGGAATATTGGTATGAAATGATTGTGTTTCTGTTAGTTTCATCCGTGGTCTATCTTATTTTGGCAGCTGAAGAAAAGTGGCTATAAATAGCAGAAGATGGAAGTGAGACAGAAAAAGGAGAGCAGTAAGAAGCTGAAAAAGAATCCCTAATAATATTTTGTTAAAAGCAAAAAGAAAAATAACAACTATCGCCATAAAAAAGGAGAGTCATTAATACAAGGAGGTGCTGAAAAATTCTCCATTCAACTCTCTTCCCAACTGATATCTTATCATTGAAATATTGGTTTCAGGAAGTGGGTCAAGATAGGAACTTTTCAGGAACCCCTTGTAAGAAAAACAATTAAAGTAGAAAAATATTTTTTAAGAGGAAAGTGAAGTGGATGTGTCATATTTTATCCTGGTAAAATGTGAATATTAATAGTTAAAGAGAAAGAAAAGGGTAAAATATATAAAATGATTTTGTTTTTCTTACAATAATGTTCACCCTGTATGAGGCTCAAGAGCTTTTCAATGAAGAGGATTACAGTGTAAAAGGCATCACGCCAAGCAAGGTGATAATGCCACCAAGATGCAAGGATCTACTGGAAGTGAAAGAGAAGGAAAAGACTTTGCCTATTGTCGTGTTTACACTCCTACCAGTTCTTTTAAACTTGTTTCCTGTTTAGCATTGGGTTTCTGCTTTGTTCTAAAGTCTACTTTAACTCTATACTTCTAACATCTTCACTTAAACTCTTAACTTTTATTTACTATACTATTTTATTAAAGCAATTGATTGATTGATTAGTCTTTTAAAGCTTATCAACCTTTTGCAGGTTTTTTTTTCTTTTTTTTTAATCAATTCATCCCAAGCAATGTGATAATGCTACTAAGATACAAAGGGTTACTGGGAGTGAAAGAGAATGAGAAAACTTTAGAAGAAATCAGAAGCCCAATACTCCTGTTTAAAAGACCAGAGTGGAGTGTGAACCAGATGATAAAGCCAAAATACATTTTTGGATTATAAGAATAATTCTATTTTTTGCGGGGAGTGAATACTGTATTAATAACATTTGGAGATAATAATGACTTTCAGATGCAATCATACCATTTAACCCATAGTTGGAGGGAGAAGACGTGGATTCATACCTTCTCAAGTGTATTTACACATAAATGAATATAACAAACCTGAGTGGAATTCAAACTCAGCTTTTCAATTTCTCATTTCAAACCATCAGCACATACAAGTTTGCAGCACCTGGTATTCCCAAGTGGTCACCCATCCAGGTACTGACAAGGCTCAATGTTGTTTAACTTTGGTGATCAGACAAGAACCAGTGTTTCAACATGATATGACCATAAGCCTAGGTTTTTCAAGTGGGAATAAAAGAAAAATTATCAGGTAAGGAATGGATACATATTAAAAAGAATGTAAATGAGAAAGGAGCGGTAGCATTTTTAACTGAACAAAAATAAAAGAATGAAGATGGAAAATAAAAAGAGACATGTTAAGAAAGAAGAAAACAGCTTCAAAGATAAAATTAAATACAATAAACCAAAATATAAGAATTTTTGGAAGTTGAAAAACAAAAAGAATGAAGACTGAAAATAAAATACTGTGTCTTCTTTTTTTTTTTTAGCTATTTAGTCTTTTAATTCAGATTTTGACAGATCTAAAAATGTTATCTATATTTTCATTAACAAAACCTCAATGAATCATGTTATTTTTCCTGATAGTGAAAATATTTGTTTTTATTAAGAAGCCTAGGGCAAAAGAATCAACTCACAAAGAAAAATTTAAGCTGTTAAGAACTCAACCAACCAGAATATACTTTGTGAAAATATTATCTTTAAATAAAAAATGCAGTTGTATTGAAAGCAGCTCAATTTTCAATTTTATGCGTAACAAATGAGTATGCCTGAAAATCAAAATCAAATAAAGAAAAAGAGAATAAATGAACGAATAACAGAATAACAGAATAAGTTAACAAATAACAGAATGTGAATGATAACATAAGATTTTTGTTTTTTTACAGTGAGGTTCACCCTTTATATGAAAGCATTATATATATACATATATATATATATATATATATATATATATATATATATATATATATATATATATATAGATAGATAGATAGATAGATAGATAGATAGATAGATAGATATATATATATATATATATATATATATATATATAACCCTATTCTGTCAGTAATGCCTGCTCTATTTCCTAACAACTGACAATCCCTTTCTACATGATTTCCAATGTACTTCTAAAGTAAAATCACTGGCAATACATTTACATTTATATATATGAAGAAAAATGTACAGAAAAAACAAACAAAAATCTTAATATGCAATTATGCTGTATTAATGTTAATATAAAGTCAACGTCGGACGTTTCAGTCTATTTTAGACCATCATCAGGACATTTTCATTTAAACATAATTAACATTAGAACATAAAAATTCAACACGAAAAGACGATGGACATAAGAGCACAACTAATCTAAAGAGATAACTGAAATTTTTATATAAGATCAGCGTTCCGTTTAAATATGATCACGTCGTCGTCATGCAGGCGATGTTGTGAAAACGTATTCGAAGATGATTTCCAAATATTAAAATATTAAAAAAGTCGATTGAACTATTCTATATAAACAGTTCAAGAAATAACTTCTGTTGATATAGGAATACGCAGAGATCAATAAGTTCTTATATCTTCATACAAGCTTGAAGTCCTCCACGTTACAAAGCAAATCAAAAATGATTTCAAGATATCAGAACGATGGAACAATTTTAAAAATAGTTTGATAATAAATCCTTTCCTTACTTGATCAATAGATTCTTATATTTTCGTACAAGCTTGAAGTCTTCCATGTTATAAAGTAAATTCAGGTTTGTATTTCCAGTAGCAAATATATAGTAAGGAGAACATGGAATTCAAACTCAGCTTTTCAATTTCTCATATTATTATAATATTTTTATATTCCTACATTTTTCAACTGATTTCAACAAAATTTCACAGGACTACATAAAATTACCTTGCTGTGGTTTTGACAGTGCCAAAAATTGAAAAAACACAATTGTTTTTGCACGAAATCAATTTGAAAACACGATTAAGTCGCCAAAATGAAAGGGGGACAACTCATATTGTGTTACACTTATTATAAAACCCAGGTTGTTTATGTGTGTTCGTTTATATATAGGATCGGATTTCCTACATTTTCAACCGATTTCAACAAAACTTCACTTTTTTTTTGGCAGGTAGTGTTTCTTATTGTCTTGTACACTTTTTTCTTTATTTTACATTCAGAATGCTTTAAAATTCCATTTACAAGACAATTGTTTATAATAAAATTCTATTCAATCGATAGACTCATAACGATTGAAAACAATGTTTTTGTTTGAGTTTGGGTTTGACCAATTCATTAAAAAAAAACAAAAAACAAAAAAAAAACTAATTAAGACATGCGTGTCCATCAACCTTAAACAATAATCTTTGTCAATTTTATTTTTCCGTCTTTATGATGGTCGATACTTGATCTATCTCTTATTGCTACATCCCCGGGCAACGCCGGGCTCTACTGCTAGTATGCAATATAAGTGAACAATTCAACTAGAAAAATTGAAAATAAATACAATGTATCTAAATACAAATTAGAGACATGCCATAATAGATAGTGGTGCCTCTTACTCTGTAATCCTCTACAGTGAGAGGCTCTTGAGCTTTGTACAGGTACAATATCATTGTAAAAAATATCATTTTATATATTTTACTCTTTTCTTTCTCTTTCCATTTCCTTCCATTTCAATACCCATTAATATTCACATTTTGCCAGGGTAAAATATGGCACATCCACTTCACTTTCCTCTTAAAAAATATCCTACTTTAATTGTTTTTCTCACAAGGGGTTCCTGAAAAGTTTCCAGCCTGACCAACTTCCTGAAACCAATATTTCAATGATAAGATGTCAATTGGGAAGTGAGTTGAATGGAGAACTTTTCAGCACTTCCCTGTATTAATGACTCTTTTTCATCAAAAAATTGAATAATTTAACACATTCAACATTATAGATAAAAAAGTAATGATTTTTCTATAGTGTTTTTTCAGACTCAGCAAAAAGTGTATTTTCTATAGTTTTTTTTCAGACTTAGCATAAAGTGTATTTTTTATAGTGTTTTTTCAGACTCAGCAAAAAGTGTATTTTCTATAGTGTTTTTTCAGACTTAGCAAAAAGTGTATTTTTCTATAGTATTTTTTCAGACTTACAAAAAGTGTATTTTACTATAGTGTTTTTTCAGACTCAGCAAAACAAATTCAAGGATTTGAATGAAAAAAAGACCACAAAATGATGTGAAAATCCACAAAAAGTTTTTATCCTTTAATAATAGTCAGTTGTGTTTAGTTTAATTTGTAATGTATTAAATGTAGGTAGAAAAAAGCTAATGTTGATAAGATAGCAATGGTCACAAAGCACTACCCAGGGCCTCCAATTAGGTTTGTTGCCTCCTACGGCAGGGGATTTGATGGTAGTACATGCTGGAGCTAACTGAATGTGAAAGTATGTTCATCATATTACTACATTACCTTTTTTGCTCTTGTTCTGCTCCGCAGTTTTCTTCAGAAAGAAAGGTTGCTTGAAAAGTCTTATGCTGCCCTAGTTCCCTGTTGACAGCCACTGTTTTCCACTAGCATTTATTGATTCTACCAGAGATGAGGGTCCTTTGTAAGAAGTCTGTAAACATTCATATGTTGTTCTGTCAGCCAGAGACCAGTTTGTCAAAAAGAAAAGTCTCTGAAACACAATAGTCTTTCATCCTTGTAACATGACCTATCAAACACAGATAATTTTTTGCAGCATAGCTTTAATGTTTGTTGTACTGACTAACTTTAAGGCTTCAGCGTTTTTGATGAAGACAGTTCAAAGCACATTGAGAATGATGTAGAAGCAATTTTGGAAGTATCAAAAGAGGTGAAGATGGTGCTAGTATTTTTCAATGTCATGTCCCATCAGGATGAAGGTGATTATAACTTCCCAGATTCCATTTCTTTATTTGTGCATTGCCATGATTTCTTGGGAATTTCCTATTGCCTTCTCTATGGTTTGGCATTCAGAGTTTTCCTTCTCTTAGACTAGAGAGCCTAATCTATCCTACTGTTTAACCCATAATGTGAGGGACAAGAGATGGATTCATTCCCTTCCCAAGAGCATTGGTATGAAAGTGAATGCAACAAAGTAACCCAGAAATAAAAGTTGGCTCACCTATTTCACTTTCCAGACTGATACCTTTATACCTCCCACATATTTCAATGCTGATATATGATTTCATACAGAAGGGTATGCTATACAATGGTTTTGTAGACATTTGTTTTTATGTCTTTCCTAAGGATCCTGTTTCTCTAGACATGTTTGTATAGTCTGCTGAAAGCTTTTCTGTCATATCTCTCTTTATATTGTAGAATATGATGTAATCTAGAGAAGTAAAATCCTGGACAGTTTCCAGCTTCAATAGAGGTAGAAGGCAAACGATAGTCTTGTTTAAGTGCAGGTTGATAGAGAATTTGGCCACCTTTCAAGTTGAAGTATTTCATGGCCTTTGCAAAGCAGGGTGTTATCTCTGGAAGTGTTTCCTCCAAGTGAATAAATAGGACCACATTATCAATGAAGAACCCATGATATCACCAGTTGCCTAAACATCTAGTTCAATAAAATGGAATCCTTACTGTTTTCCTTCCATACATTCAAAAAGCATTCTAAAAATATTGTTAAGTAATTTTCAGAGGTTTCAGTACATGAAAGTTAATATCCCCACTAAAAAGAAAATCATTTGGTTTAGCTTCATAAATGAAAGCAAAATATTAACCTAGCTTTACACAATGAATGGCAAATTCACTGCTGTTTGATACTTGCCTTAAAGAACTATTTACTTAAATAAAAGAACACTTTTGAAATAAATTTCATTTCATCGTTTTCATTTAATAAGATTTATGTATGTAAAACGTTTGCAAATCAACATGCAAAAGCCAATAAACATAATACCTACTAGATATACACACACACACATACACAGACTTACAAATATACATTATCATTTTAATCCCACATAAACAAACTAGAATTATTATACACTTACATACATAAAGCAATATTTATGGTTGTTTTAGGTAGTCTTGGAATCAGTTAATTTCTTGGAACTTCGAATGGACACATCATCTCACCTTGAATTCAGAATGCCACAAATTATACTAATGTTAGTTTAAAAAGTTAAATGTACATGAAACAACCAATGAAAATCAAACAACACAAAAGTAAAAAAATACCAAAATTTCTTTTTTCTTTTTCTTCATACTT